TAGTTTTCCACTCAAAAATAAGAGATTTGAAATATCTGAATTCCCAGAGAGTTGTGAGGGAAAGGAAAAACAAAGCAGCAAGCTAGACCATTCCGACTACTACAATCAGCTGTTCCACATTAAAAAACATTTTATCTTCCAGGTCCCATGGTTACTTTAATTAAAAAAAAAAAAAAAAAAATCAGAGCTTGGAATTCAATGACTAATCCCAGTTTTGTAGCCAAGCAACTTCAATGTCTTACCAAGACAAAGCGTGCTAATGTTAATTAGGCACCAAAAAAATACTTATAAATCTTCATTTTAAAAATAGAAAAATATGAATTATGTCTCCAGGAAAGGTCGGGTGAGGTAGTTACTTAAGTGAGCTTTGAAGTGCCCCAAACTTTGCAACACAAAAGCTAACCAGGCAATTTGTCAGGGGCCTAAGGGCTGTAGCTAATTAATACTGATTTGCATAACTTGAAACAAAAATAAATGTAAGCCATCCTCAGATGTCCTTGTGAGGATTCCCCTTTATAAAAATGTGCATATCTCAAATCTTAGAGAGGTTTTGCAATGCAAGGTATTGTTACCCCTCACCACCTCAGGCCAGGCAGCCAAGCTGATGGGAGCAAGAGGCCAGGTTACTAGTAAAACTAATACAGGCAACTTAAATTGGACGCCAGGGTGGATAAAAATCAATGATTTTTTTAAAAAAAGGATTTTTTTTATTTAAATCGCATTACTTTGATAAAATGCTTTCTGAGGGAAAAAGCAATCTAAAGATAGTTTTAATTAAGATACATTATAGCTCAAAGCTATCTCATTATGGAATAGGGATTATAAATTCTAATTCTATAGTATGAGACAATATATTCATGTAATGTTTAAGAAAAGTTTTGTAAATGAGTTCCAATAGTTCATAGTTTTATAAATGCCTGGTACAAAAGTAATGTTTTACCAGTGGGTGGAAGAGGATGCTTATTTAACCTACCATTAGCGTTCCTTTCCCTGCACCACTTCATTGTCACAGATATGTTTGCTTGCTGACTGTCTAAGAACTTGGAAGTCTACAATGCTACACCTACAGCCTGAAGTCTCAGACAAAAATCAGAAACATAGGCTGGCCTTAACATCAAATCCAGTAGCAAAGTCTGTAACTGTCATCCAAGAATAGCTCACCACCAATATACAGGTAAAAATTAACTGTAAGGAAAATGAGGTTGGGGCTTTCATTAGCACTAGTGAAAGGAAAAGGGTCACCTTATCTTCTCACAGAGAAGAGAAATAGGAAAACATATCTGCACTTACCTGAAAATTTCCTTTCTTTTATTAGGAAGATCCATGGATCTTCCCCCACCCTGGGCAACATTTTAGGAAATGAGACAAAGATTTGGTGTTTGTTCACACAAATCACCACATGCCTGTTTAGTACACTACTGCAGACTAGCCATCCTGTTGAATCCAACAGGTTAGCAGCAAATTCCTGTGACTGACTCTTTGGCTATCCTGGTAGACTGTGTACACACACACACACGTCACACTAAATGTATTCAGAAATCAGTGGCAAAATTTCTGATCTTGTGCAAACAGGAATATAGATGCAAGAGTCTGTGTATTTGTGTGCGTCAAGTTGTTTGTTTATTGTCAAGAATACGAGGTGGCTTGTTCTGGGACAGCTCACAATAGGAGCTGTTCCTGGAAAGCAAAGAAGTCCTGCTGCTTAACACAGGAAAACAACACTACTGCCAAATAAATGTTGTCCAGCAGATCAAATACCAAAACTATCATTCCGCATCTACGAACACAGCTGAGGAAGCACATCATGTGGGTAATGGAGGTTTTCAGGCGGTCTGGTATGAAAAGAATATACAGATTTCTGGTTACATATCTATGCAAAGAAAGTTTGCATTTTGGGGGGGCCATGTGCAGAATAGCTTGGTTTGGTTTGGTAGCAGGGAGGTGGCATCTAAAGTGCTGTCAGCAGTAAGATTTATCAGGACACCCTGAGCTATGGGGTAAATTCTTTACTAAGAGAAGGAAGAAAATACTCAACACTGCAGAGGAACTGTGATGGGTGTACAAACCACACACTGGGCACTAAGGGATTTTGGGCCCAGCCAGCCCTGTCCCACCACACCTGCAGCAAATGCTCCATCTGGTGGAGGAATTAAAAAGACAGGGTAACAGCTCATTTTGGCGGTGGAGCTGGAAGTGAGCAGACCTGCAGCCCACAGTTGCAGAGCAGAGGGAAGCCTAAAGTCTCTGACATAGCTGTCCAAAGGGGCCCTCCCCCAGGGAAAGGAAGACCCACCTCAGAGAGGGAAGTATCCCCCTCTCCTCCGCCTGTGGATCCTGGTAACCCCCCTCTTACTTATTTGATTCAGACTTCCCCAACATAGGAAAGCCTTGGACTAAGCTGACTGGGGAGAGGGGGGCAAGAAGAAGTGGCAGGCCTTAACCTCAGTTGCCAGACAACTGGTAGCCCAAAGGATGGAGTGGGAGGGACGGGGCTCCCTTCCCTGCCAGTCACAGGTTGTGGCCTTGACCACTAGGCCACGCTTCCCAAGCAAATCCCGAGTGAGGACCATTACAGGAAGGTAAGCCTCAGATCTCATGAAACTTCAACAGTGCAACCATGGAAGCATGTTCCTCCCTTGCTGCTGGGGGGAGGAAATAATTGTCTTTCAACAGCTATGCTCAAGTAAAGGTTACCCGTTACCCACCTGTTCTCTAGGTATAGCTGTTAGGGGCAGATCTCTCAAAGTCAAGATCCCAGGGCAGCCTGTACCTTTATGGAATCAAACCTCACAGCATTGTATCTTTTCACTGAGTCCTCACCAAGTTCTTGCCAAACGTTTCCAAACTTTCTCTGTGTAAAAAAGGTCTTTTCCACTTGGTTTGTGTCTAGTTGGTGAACAGACGTTAAACCACACTTAATTACAGAGTCCTCCATTCAATAACTGGACTCTGCTTATGAGCCCTGCTATAATGGAGACTCACCCAATCATCAGAATATAAACACAGGAGCTTAACCCAGGGAAGTAAAAAGGATCTTCCCCTCTTCTCAGCCATTAGGTGCTATGCTGAGTTCTTCTCATATGGCTGTCTCATCACTTTAGTAAACAGTGCAGCATTTAGAAACCCAATGAAATATACCCAGGCCCACTGTCAGCAATTATTATTAATGTTATAATAATGATGATGATCATCATCATCATAAGATGCAGGCTAATGCTTATCTTCTCTAGCATGTAAAACTGATAAATATTACCAGCATCTCAAAGGCATAGATCTGGAGATTCTAAACAAACAGCAAACAATGAACAATGCACTATTCAGCTCCTGGCAGTAGCTGACAAAGGGAAGGAGGAAGAGCTTGTGGCTGTAGCACGCTAGGGGAGTAAGGATAAATACAGCTGGACATTAAGGCAGATTCTTTCTTTTCTTGTAATGCTGTCAAGCAGCTGATCTTCACGAGGATAGTCTCATACACCTTAAAGGGACACTCCCAAATTTAATGTGGTCAAACTGACTTTTTTCTTTTTTAAATGTATTTTTTCCTGAGAGAGGAGTCTTTAAATAGCATGATCTGATTTTTAAAAAAGAATTTTTTTATGTCTGTAAGGATTTTTTCTGCACCCCTGTTGATGTTTAGAAAGATCTTTCAGGCAGAAACAAGGGCAACACCAAACAACCTCAACTCACACCCCACCCCATCCCTCTTTTGTGGTGTACACAGTTTCAGCTGTGCTGCGGTTACTGGTGAACTCCCTCTTCCAGCACCTGAGGAGCATGCGAGCAAGGTCCTCACTTTAGTGCAGGGCAAGTGTGCAACTGACCAGCAACAAAAGAGTGACGATGATACAAAGTACTGTAGAATGCACGAGATAAACTGGGAACAAAGCCTGTATTCTGATCTTTTTCAGTTACCGTGCTCTAAGGGGTTACCCTGGCACAACAAAAGCGTCAGATACTAATGTAAGAGACAAGGTGGGGGAGGTAATATATCTTTTACTGTATCAACTTCTGTTTGTAAGCTCGAAAAATCATTTCTCTCACGATGTCCCTTTAATCAGTGCTTGAAGTGGGTGGGATCACAGACATGGCCACAAAAAAATTTTTTTTAATCAAACTGTGCTCCTGAGAGGCGTACTTTCAGTCTTCTCTTCCCTTTATGAAGGACTTTGGAAGTGGTTTTGTCAGCTTATGTTGGACCATCATTAGAGTTAGCAAAGGAAAGTATGTTAAAACTTAAAAATATCTCAACTAGTTATTGTCTCAATAGAAGTTTGGTGTGTAACTCTCTCCTCATTTAAAAACAATAGTAGCAAATAGGTAAACAGCTTCTTGAGCTAAGAACTGAACGTGATTATTATGAAATAAATATATACACGAAAGTGTGAATTGTCTGTATCGAGCACATAAAATTTATTTCAGCTCAGATGACAGAACCCCAACTGTTTTCACACCACTTTTACCTATAGCACAGTGGAAATATAGCCATTCAGACTTAGCAAACAGGAAGAAAATCCAGCCACCCCTCAAGACCATCAGTAGATGCGCCAATACCAAATTAAGCGATAGTTTTGTCTCCTTCCTGTTCATTGGGTTGCAAGAATATTCTTTGTATAATGGACTAACTTCTTTAAGTTTCTTACACGCAGGCAGCTCTTTTTTCTTTTAAGCCTTATTGTATTTAAATGCAATAAACACAGATTACACCACCTAATCATAACCAGTGTTATTGACTCATACTAGTTGATACAGAAAAGAAAAGCCTAATCATTGGCCACATGATTGGATGGGATCTATCATATACACTTAGCAGCATCAGACTTGCTTTTCCCAGAGCGAATGTCTGAATAATAAGGGAATGAAACAAGAAAAAGATTGACGGAATGGGAAAAAATGAAGACCAATTGTTGGTGAAATCTGCCAGAGATTTAGTAGTTTTCTTTGTAAAGTGAGAAGAAGCGTTTTGCTTTTTATACAGAAAAGTTAAAATAATCTTTACTCACCTGTATGACTTCTATCCCTCTTTTCCTGGAAAAAAGAAAAGGACAAAGGGTTACTTTAGTAAATGATGAGTAGTAACAGAATTCAGATACTCAAAGAAATACATTGCTTGATATTAGAACATTAAGGAAAAACTCTACATTACAGTACTTGAGCCAATTCCAGGCCCCAATTCAGAAAAGCACATGCTTAAGTGCTGTCCTAAATAGGGACCAACTTCAGCATCATCCTGAATCGGGGCCTGGGAGGTGAGGTGGAAGATTATGTAAATTATACATCAGTGAATGGTCATAAGGGATGTTACACTGGTTTAATTTATAAGCTACCAGACAAAGGAAGCATAAGAGGTTCACGTTAAAGCAGGGAACACCCTATTTTTAGTTCCTTTTCCCTGCTATCCCTCTCACCTCACCCTTTAATGTAATTCTCACACTGTGGTACTAGTGTCACCTACAGAATGGGTCAAATTCAGAGGTGACATGTAAGGGGACGTAAGTTTATGTTAGTCAGCAGGTGCAAGTTTAAGATGCTGCTTTTTATTCTATCTTATTCGCGTCCTTGTACCAAGCTCATCACCCTGGTACCTGACCACCTTCCACCGTCAGGCATCTACATGGAGATTTACGTCAGTCAAGTTTCCTCTTTTCAACCCCTCATGGGCAAGACGGGGCTGTGGAACTGACCTAAGGGATTTTTAAGCTGTCTTAGAAATGTTAACAGGTTACAAGAGCTGCTGTCAATGTCGTGACCCAAAACGTGGCCAGATCTGAAGCCATTCCTAATTCCTGCTGGAGTGAACTGCGAAGTCTTGGACTCATTAAGAAGCCCTGTGCCCTGCATATATAGCTCCAGCCTTAAGGTTAATAGTTGCATCATGCCTAAAAAAACAGGACTGGCCAGAGCAGTCAGAGTGCCAGAGGTCAAGGAAGTCCATTAGGTGTACACCGACATGGCTAGAAGTTAGGCTCACCCCAAACTTGGCCCTTCATCTCGTGGCACTGGCAAAGCAGCCCACATGAACACAACCAGACATGCTTCCTTTATTACATCCAACAAGCTGACACCACACTAAACTACTAGTAGAAATCCATGCCCACTCCATAACACTTTCCCCTCTATGTGCAGACTATTTAAATGCGGAGCAATTTTCCTCTCAGACTCAGAGAGAGAATTTAATTTAGTGAGCCAGTTCTTCAGAAGAAGCATTAGACCAGGATTCCTTTTACTTGCCTCTGCTAACGCCCCAGGTAGAAGTGAAAGATCCTTTGGCACGAGGAGGAAAAGGAAAAAAAAAGTGAGTAACTCAGGCCAACATTCCCCTGCTCTATAAAAGAGGTCTGACAGTAGAGTCCATAGCTGTGTGGGTGGGAGGGTGGGGGGGGAACAGCTGCTGACTACATAAGTGGCTGCTCCAGTTGTCTACCCAACCCAGAGTCTCGTTCTTCTGGAAGACAATAGTGAACGTGCCCAGGAGGAAGAGACAAGCGATGCAAACTGCTTCCTTCTCCTACCTCAAATTCTGGGAATCACACAGCTATGGGAAGCTTCCCTTATTTGTACACCTAGGACATTGAGAGCTTGCTGCTCAGCAAAGACATTAAAATAGATATAAATGAGGTAAAATCATTGAACAGAGAAGTGGACAATCTCCAACTTCTTTTGCAGCCAGCAAGTTCCAGCTATTTTAAACACAATATTATTCAGCAAGCGATAATAATGGGACACATACACATTGCCCATGGCATGGCAACTTGCTGCAGATTAACACACAGCAAATGAGGTTAGCCAAACAGCTATTTCTAGTGTGGTTATGGAGAAAATATGATTCAGCAAAGAAAAAGTTAGTGACCAAGTTTTACAACGGCAGGTAGCAAGAAAAAGAAAAAAATTTAACGGCCAGGGAGAGGTTTAGTAAACAATGGCTGCAACCCAGTCTGGGTATTCTGAGATGCTTGGAATGCTTCTATGCTTAAGCTTCCAGCAAGCAAATGGGCAACAGTTTTGCCATCATTGCCTTGTAATAAGCAGAAAGCCTGAGGCTGTTGCTGAAACATTCAAAGCCTCATCCCCCAATGCTCCCACAGAAGCGCTGTTCCAAAGCCTCGTTATGGACAGAAGCAAACCCAGGTGGTGGAAGAATACGTTTTTCCATTCCTATATCTATATAAGACTCCAGAAACCATCACTATGAAGCCTAGTCTGTCTGCACAGTCAGTGTGAAGCGATGGAAAAAGCTACACACATGGCTGAGAGCTCTTTTTGTTTAGAATATAACCAGGTTCAACCATCACAGGGATTTGTGGTCTGTTACCGTGCAATTTTTAAGGTCTCAGCTTTTTTGGGCTTTACGAACTTTACATGATTTACAAATTCCACCTGTGCAACAGCACAGGATTTCAGCTACTAGTACACAGAATAAATCCTGTTCTGTTTTCAAGGAGTGAGAGGCTCTATCCTGGCTGCCAAACCCACTCGAGGAGCATTCAGTCTGAAAGCTTTGTATAATCCCAATAAAAATGGGCTTTACAAATGATTGGAATTTACTAGCACTGACTGTACCATAAATGCAACAATATGTCCAAAGAAAAAATTACACTAGCTTCTCACTACTCCATTTAGTGCAAAAATGGTAAGAAAGAAAGTTGTGTTGTGTTGTGTTGGATAAAAAGTTAAACACAAGCTCAAAGGACAGAGGGGAGGGTGGAAATGGTTGTGACTTTGGTTTGCATTGCTGGGCCTTCCTCAGCCTCTCTTCAGAAGAGCTGTGTTCCTTTTGGTTATTTGAAATGTTCTGTTTCACCCTTGAGAACCAAGAGGAGAAGGAACCAGAAAAGTTAAATCTTCTGAGAACTAACTTGGATGGAGTCTTTACTGAAATTGCTTTGTTAAAAGTAAGTTCTTTAAACAGAACAACACTCAACAGCCAAGATGACTTATTCCTGAGGGAAAAGCCCATTCAGACAGGCAACCATGTCATCAGTTCTGGAGTCAGCTACATCTCCAATGTACTGATCCCCCTACTTGGTGCTTAAAATCTAGATATACACACACGCATCCTGTATCTCAGACACAGAGTTTCCATTGGGCAAATTCCTTTGACAAGACAACTCCATATTAGGCAGTGGACTAAACTGTACTGAGACCACTACCGATACAATCAACATGCACAAAGATTCCCCCGCCACACACACACACACACACACACACACACACACACACACACACACAC